AAAAAAGAAAATTATCTCGAGTCAGATGAACAAAGGGTGGCTGTAATTAAGCATGTATTAAACACCAGCATCAGAAGCTCTCCAGCCACCGACTTTTTGTTTGCTGTCTTCTACCGATCCTGCTCTGCACTGGCTAGTTGTATTAAATCCACACAAAGGGACATATTCTCTGTTCCTACCTAGCTTTTTATAATGATCAAACTGGAATGACCTTTAAAAAGCCAGATAATATTTTATTTACCTTTTTTCTCCCATTTACTGCTAAATGTTAATGAAGGTAAGAGATTCAAATCCTTGCAAATAAAACATTTTAATTGACTTAAGTGTAACCATAACAGTAAATTGGCTACTTTATATGGAAAAGCTTTTCAGTATTGTGAAAACACACTTGCACAGTCCTTTCATCTCTCTGTAGACTCAGAAATTAGTAGCAAACACTTCCTTTGTTTCCAGTGACAGGGAGGTTGAGGGTGTTTTGAGGATGGATTTCCCCAAGCCTGGTTGCTGTAATCTAGTGCCAGTCAAGTGTTCCCCGGAGATGCCTCCACAGAGCCCTTGCTGCTTCCTCCCCAGTGTTACCCAGCTGCAGTCAGTCCTCACAACACTTACAGTGGCCAAGGGTTCTCCTCCAGCTTTTCAGGCTCCCCGCTCGTGTCCCTCAAGCCGAAGTGCCCTCCCTTTCCAGCAGCATTGTCAGCGGTGGTGCTGAGCTTGGCCCGGTGTTTCAGCTGCTCTGAGCTTCATTGCAGCAGTGCTTTAGGGGAAAATCAGCACTTCATTGCTGAATTCCTGTTAGATGGAAACACATCAAAGCTCTGCTTCTTTTCCTAGGAAATCTCCTCCAAGCAGTGGGGTGCTGAGGTTCCCAGCCCTCTGTGTGGGCTGGGGGGATGCTGCTCACAGCTGCAGCAACCCCCTTGCCCTGAGTGTGAAGAGGATGGAGGGGAATGGGTGGAGGAGTTACAGGGTTTAATTTTACCTTCTAAACCAGAACTCCCCGACTGCAGTGGTGCTAAGAACCATCCTCCACTCTCTGAACTGGGTCTGCAGCCTTGTCATGATTTGCTTGAAAACTAAACTGAAAAGAGCAGTGGTTCAGATACTGGAGGGACCTTGTGTACATGACAGTGCAGGAGCAGTTGCTGCCACAATCAGAGCAGCAGCTGCCCTTTCTTGACAGACCTTTCCTGGGGAACAAGCACTGTGAGACTCACATTTGCTCTGTGAGTCCTGGGGATCCTGGGGCTGTATCAAATGTGTTCTGGGTCAGAAAGAACAAGCTGTTTGGAACAAGTCTCTAGAGACTCTTGTACAGGAATATTTCTCATTCCTTTCTCATGTTCTGACTGGGGGCAGGATGGCACTTCAGAACTGGTGTTGCTGAGATTACCTGGGGTAAAGCAGTGCAGTCTGACACTTAACAACAGCTGTAGGGACTCCTACTTGATTATGCAGTTACCTACCCTTAGGTAGGTAATGCTGGCTCCAGAAATAAAAGGCCAAATAAATTTTTAACTTTAGACTCATTTTAGGTTTGTTTTAACCAAAAGCCAAACATCTACTGATAAAGGCAGAATCAAGTCCTTAGAATCACAAAATCATTTATGTTGGAAAAGGCTTCTAAGATCATGGAGCCCAAGCTTTAACAGAGCACTGCCAAGCCCTCCACTAAACCGTCTCTTTAAGTGCCACATCTACACATCCTTTTCAACGCCTTCAGGCAGGGAGACTCCCCCACTTCCCAGGGCAGCCTGTTCCAGTGCTTTCCATGAAGAAATTTTTCCTAATATCTAACCTAAACCTCCTCTGGTGCAACTTGAGTCCATTTCCTCTCCTTCTGTCACTTGTTCCTCGGGAGAAGAAACCAACCCCACCTGGCTTCAACCTCCTGTCAGTAGTTGTAGAGCACGATAAGGTTCCCCTTGAGCCTCCTTTTCTCCAGGCTGAGCCCCCCCAGCTCCCTCAGCAGCTCCTCATTAGACCTGTGCCCCAGACCCTTCCCCAGCCCTGTTTCCCTTCTCTGGACATGTTGCAGCACCTCAATGTCCCTCCTGTCGTGAGGGACCCAAACCTGACCCCAGGATTTGCCTCAGCAGTGCCCAGCACAGGGGGATGGTCACTGCCCTGCCTCTGCCCCACCACTGCTGGAACAAGCCAAGTGCCACTGGCCTTCTTGGCACCCCCTCAAGGGGTGTATCTGGAAATACTGAGCTCCAAGACTAGAAGAGGTGTCTAGTGGAGCACCTCTTAGACAGGGACTTCTCAAGCAAGGCTCGAAATGTGTCATCCGACCCTGACAATCAAACTTGGAAAGATGCTTTTCCCCCAGTGTTGTACAAAGTACTATTGTTAGCCAAGAACAACTATTTCATCCCAACACTGCCTCAGCTAAAGATACAGCAAGCTTATTCCCAGATTGTTCTGGCCCTGATGCAACCCAGAGCCACAGCTCTGCCTTATGACTTGTTATTGGAGCAGAATTGTCACAAAGAGACGGGATCCTGTGTTGTCTTTGCGTCACACAGCCCAAGGCTCCTGCAACCAGCCAAGTCCAGGCTGGTGTTTTACACTTGCACAGCTCCAGGGGTACAAGATTTTGCCCTTAGAAGAATTTCCTGTGCTGCCAGACTGGGAGATGCTGCCACAGACTGTGAGTGGCTTGTAAGCAGAATCTGTGCTCAGCCCCCTTTCCTTCACCCTTTGGAGCAGTGCTGTGTTTGCCACAGTGACTGCTGGGAATGACAGGAAAGCTCTGCTACAATTGTGGGTTGTGCCTGTTCCTCCTTAATTCTTAAGAATTGTTGCAACACATAGCACAGCATATGGGAGGAGAGGAGGGATTGACTGGGGATTTTTTTCCAGTATATGAGGTGGATATTCTAATTTTCGCTTTTATATAGAGCTTTTCTGACTAGAGTGGGAGTTCCCTACATGGTAGACAAATCTTTTTATACTTATTTTCCAGGCAATCTGATAGTTCTTTGAGGATGAAAATAAAATTCAGTTCCTGACCTAGAAGATGAATTTTCTTATTGCTGATAAACTATTGGATTATGTTGAGCTTGATAATTGCATGTTAATATTAAAAAAGATAATGTTCTGAGTTGTTTTTATTAAGATTCAGATCCAACTTATTAATTCAAATTCAGTTACAAGATGATTGTTTAAGGAACTTAATTTTTACTGTCCTCAGAATTGTCACATACATTTCCAAAGTTAGAGTTCCAAACTTCTCTTTATTGATTTTTTATATTTTCAGTTTGGAAATCCAGCAACCTGACTGGTTTAAGAGATGATTTAGTGAAATGATCCCAAATTATCCTTCTTTTCTTGAGCAGGTCGACTCCTCTCTTGTCAGTACTTGTCTGCCTCCAGTGGAAGGATTTCTCTGTATTTTCCTTAAGGAATGCTGAGTCAGGTCCTGATCCTCCCTGTTCCATCCTTTTGTCACCAGGCTTACCCAACTGCCTTGCAAGTCTCCAAGACAGAGACCATCTCTGATTCCTGTCTTTCCTGTCCTGCCATGTGCCTGCTCCTCAGGGATTACCCAAATAGGAACCTCACAATTGTTACCAACAGCACATCAGGTATTGCTGTGTGAACTCAATTTACCCCGTTGTGTTCAGAGGAACTTTGTGCATATTTAAAGTTGGTATTGCTTTGTGTGTGCTGGGCTGAAGTCTACAAATTTGGGAAGTTGGATCCCCTGAGTAGGTCCTGGTTCCCTGCAGCTCAGAAACTCCAGTAACAATCTTCATTAACCTGAATCAGGCAGCACTGCAGAAGAAGGTTCCCTCAATAAAGTGTTGTCATGCCTATGTAAAATTCTCCCAAAATATATTAAATACAAATCCCTTCAAAGAAAACAAGCCCCTCTCTACATTAATAAGAATTATGTTTTTGAACGCTCAGGGATTTACAAACTTAGGCCTGTGACACAGGACTGAGTTACCACTTTTGCCACCACAGATCCTGGTTTTGCCCACGTGTTGTCAGGAGCAGCCTGGGGAACACAGAGCTGGCTGACACCTTGTAAGGAAAACATTTTACGAGTTTGGGAAGTGTATTGTGTAGAAAACAGCATCAGTGATCCAGCAAGAAACGGCTCTGGTCAGAGCTTTGTGGCCTCGGAGGAGCCTTTGAATGTCACAGAAAGCTGAACTATCATTGCAAGTGATTTAGAGAAGCTGGGAAGTTTTCTGTGTGCTGTGAGCAGCTATTAGAAAAATAAAATTTGGCAAAAGATTGGATTTCTCAGGATTTGTTCTGTAATCAAACCAAAATCAGACCGAATCCTTAGAACAAAGGCAGATATGTTTTGCATTTGAATATAAAACCTATCAAGTGGGTGGTGGGGAGAGAATGGGTAAATAAATACAAAACCTCTTAAGGGTTTCTTTCTGGGTTGGTTTCAAGAATGTCCCACAAAACAGGTTTTCATGGTTGTATGGGGCAATGTGATGCCATTCAACTTTCTTTCCTTTCTTTAGAAATTCTGAAGAAACTGTTGAAAACAGCTTCTGGGCTTTTACTAAAATAGTTTCCAGAGATGAGGAAAATGAGAGAATGCATATACAATCTTAGACAAACGATCTGCTCATATATTGAAGCCTGGATTGTAAAATGACTGCTGTGCCTTCCAGTGAATGAATATTCAGTGCTTCCCTGCTGGGTTGGCTTTTCCTATTTGAACCAGCTACAGCTCTGCACTGCGATCCACTTGTTACCAAATTAAACTCTTTACACACGTGGGAGATCCAACTTTATAAAGTCAAATTTTGAAGTGCTTTCTGGTCAGCCCCTGTGCCTGTCACAATCTTCATAACGGCCTGAATTAAGTTTAAAATATCATCGATGTGTGTTGTTTCCCTTGGCTGGGGAGCAGCCCTTCTGTACATCAGGCATTTTTCTGTTGACACTACGTATCACTTAGCAACCCAGTGAAAGGCCCTATATGCATTGATTGCACACAATTGTCTTTATGGGGTGGAAGTGTTAAGTGAATAAACCCCCACAGGTGACCAGACGGTCATTCCTCTCATGTTGATAATCTGTTTACATCAAAATATTGTTTACTCAGCTCTCTGATCTTGAGGAATCTACATGGAGCTGAAAGAATACAGTTAACTCCCCACACTCTGACACACAAGTATGAGCTGTATTTCCATTCTCAGGGATGGATAGATTGAGAAGGATTGTTTTGTCTTTAACTTAGCTCTCCCAAATAAAGCATTAAAATGCATTTGACAGTTAACCACAGATGATAATGCAATCTTTATGCTGTGGTTCCCATCATAATGGAGAAGTTACAAGGCTGTCACTACACCATAAAGAAAGAATCTTTCGTGCAGTCTTACTGCTGTCTTTTCTGCTTTCCTCTTTGTAAGCACTGTTACCAAATTACCTTTGGAGAAGTTGGATTGTTTACACTTATTTTTCTCTACAGGGTGAATAGCTGAGCTTTTAAAATGAGCTACAGTGTCCTCCCCAGACATTTTTCCTTGCCATAAAGTAGTCTAAAGAGACAAAACTAGTTTCCAATTCTGCAGGTTTTGTGTGGTTTTTTTTTTTTTTTAGTTTTATTTGGCTTATTACATCCTTATTAATTACTGAGGGGTGAGGTGGAGAGGGGAGTGTGCTGAACTGAAGAGAGACATTTCCATTGTTTTGTTTGTTTGTTGACAAAGATGTAACTTCTAATGCAAGCAGATTTGTTTTATTTTATGAGGACTTTGGAAACTCAATAGAATGGTAGTTTATATCATAGGGAGAAAGAGTAAGCACTTTTGAACGTTTTTTACTAATTCGGACAATTCTGAAAGATTTGGATAAAAAATCCTCCCCTTTGAAAAGATTCCAAAAACACATACCCTGAAGTGATAGGAAAATTGCAATCTGCTACCGGGAACTTTTTCCATTTTTCTGTTATTTGTAAAGGTCACATTGTAGCATCTGCCACAAGTAATTGAATTAAGGGAGTCAGTTATATCTGCATTTTCTGTCTGGGGTTTTTTTTTCCCAAGTAGCTAAATATTATAGACTGACTCTTTATAGTCCCTTCACATAAACATATAGTTTTAAGGACTGTGTACTAGGGAAGCATGAGAAGAGCTTTAAGAGGGTCTGGAAATCCCTGTTGTACCACACAGTAACTGCGCTAGCAACAGAGTTAGAGAGATTTGAGCTGGTAAAATGAGAGCTGGGCCACACACATGTAGGTGTGTTACTACAGTGTGTGTTTTCTGCAGTCAATTTAAATCAATCTTTGAAAAGTCTGACTAATAAATGATCTGGGTTTGTCATTCTGTTCCCCATCCTGCCCCCATGGAGGTCCCTGCACCCAGTCCTGGTGTAGAGCAGAGAACAGTCCCATTGAGCCCTGCTGATCTCTGGGGGAGCCAAAGGAGTTCTGCCAGTGATTAATTTGACCCATGAACCCCAGTGGGATTTCTCAGGGGAGGAGGGCAGTGAGACTGACCCAGCACTGGAATCTGCATTGCCTGCAGTGACACCACTGCTGTGGGCACAGGGACAGGGCTGGCACTGCTCTGGAGCAGGGACCAGGGGCTGGTGGGCAAGGAGGTGGCTACAACCCACTTCCCTTCCAAGGGCTGGAAGATAAAGCTGGAAGATAAAGCTGACAGAATAATTTTTGGCAGAATGACCTAAGGAATCCGTATTTCTGAATACTAACCAGGAAGCTGGAGCTGTTCCTCGGTTCTGCAGATGAATGAGTGGTCCCTTCTATAAACATTTTGCTGTTACAAGGTAGATTTTTCACAGTGTTAATTTTAACAACATGGGTGTTTGCTGTGGAATAAAACTTTAAATTGATGTTCTCCCATTTTGTTGTTAAAACAAGGGGAAAAAAATGGAACTAGGATTGTGATAGATTCTGTGGTAATATTGCATTCTGATAGAGGGACTGTTGGATAATTAAAGGAGAACCAAAAGAAAATAACCATTATTTTTACATAAGATATCTTCCATTTTTACAGCATAGTGAGTTTTGAGTATTTCTTCATTAAATCTGTAATAAACCCAATTACCTTTAAGTATCCTGTATTGGTTTCAAATATGTCCTTTTTTTTCCAAAATCAAATTTGCTTCAAAATGTTGACTTCACATCTCAAACTGTTGATTTCATGGGAAGGCACTTGAAAATGCTGGGAGCAACTTGGAAAAACTTGTTTTTCTTTCCTTCTTCTAAAAAACTAATTTGTATTTCTTTGTAATTGAAAAAGAGCCAGACTCAGAGCCTTATCTTCATGTGTTTAAAAGTTTGGTAGCTCAAGCCAAACACTTCCAAGGCTTTTTAATAAAAAATTAATTAGTAAATGGCACTTCTTCCCTAAAGAGGCAGTTTTAACATGCTGTAGGTGATGCTGTTTGGCACTTTCATTCCACTGTGTTCAGACACTGGTTTTAAAATCATTAAGTAGGGGTGGGGTGCAGGGGGTGGGACAAAATTTAAACACCCTGAGCTGTGCACAGTGCAGGTGTGTGGTGAGGAGCAGCCAGGAAATTGCTGAACCTTTATTTGGATCGTGCTGCTTGTGCTTTATCATAAACCCTCTCTCAACCCATAGTTTGTTTGTCTCCATACTTTTTCCCATTCTGACAAAATTCCTGGCCTTCTAAGTCTAATGATGTTGACATATTAAAATGGTAGAGAGAAAAATGTGAGCTGAGCCCCTCCTTTTAGCTAAATGTTATCTGCTTAGACTAATATTGCAATTGCCACCCACTGACATAATTTGTTTCACAGTCACAGCCTGGCAGCATGAATCAAATGTTGACATTCTAATTTCATGCACACATGGGTGTTTGGCTGAGCAGGCCTCAGCCTCTGAGCCATTCACACCATACCTGTGTAAATCAGGGAGACAAGGCCTTTTCACAGCCCCCCAAAGGGAAGTTCCCACCTTCCTGCAAAGTGCTGGGCTGGTTAAAGCTGCACAGCCCTGCCTTCCCCCACAGGAGTTCATGGCTCCTGTCACTGCACTGGTGGGCTGGACAGGCACATTTACAGGAAAAGTACTCATTTTAAATTTTTTTTTTTTTTAATTCAGTGTGTTTAACAGATTTTTCTCATAATTCCTGTATGGAACAAATGGTTATATTGTCAAAACTCTGTAACTCTTTCTGTTGTAACTGCTCTGTCCGAGTGGCTTAAATGCAAAAGATGTTCCAATTCTTGCTCCTGGAGACTGATGCCCATTAATGATTGTTGCAAAGATGTTTCACCAAAGTTCTCACTCCAAGCAGCCACCTCTGGAGCTAAAATGAAGTTCAGCTTCTGCGTGCACCTCACCTTGGAGCACTCTGGCCAGAGGGAAAACTCCAGCCAGCCTCTGACCCCCACCTGCCAGACACCGGCCAGGGCCTTATGTAAGGTTTCAATCTAGATTTTCACTACAAATACAGTTAAAATATTGCAAGTATCAATCCCATGGATTTTTCTGCCTCTGATTTGTAGTTTTGTTCCGGTTCCACGCAAAGTGTAGTTATTTGTGGTAAAAGAGCAGATTTATTTTGCTTTGAAGGAAAGTCTTTTGTTTTTCTTGAAAGGCACCCAAAAGTCACGGCAAACCAAAAGAATGGCTTTAAATGGTTATTCACAGATCTAGAGGCACATCCCAGAAACGTTCCCAGAGCTCCTGGGTGGAAGGGCTGAGAAGGAGCCAGAGCAGTTGCTGTGGGGTTTGGTGGCACCTGATTGCTGAACAGAGCAAACCATCAAACCCAGAAATACCTGCTTGCTGCTTTCTCGGTTTCATGTGTGTTTGGAAGCTCTGAGAGATTTTAATTCCTATGCAGTACTGATGAGAATAAAGGGTACTCATGAGCCATGTGACACTCCTCTGTTTCAGCTCATTGTGGTCCTGAACTGACTGTGGCTGGAATGCACAGCTTTGGCTTCAGCTTTGGCATTCCCGGGTCAGAGGAGGGTGTTTAGCTCAGGATGTGACAGGAGTGCCACGCACTGAGCTGGGTGAGGACAGTAACACAGGCAGAGCTCTTGTCCTCTGGAAAGGTTCCAGGCTGTGCACGTCCAGCCCACTGACACATTGCCTGCCCTGCACTGGGACACAGGCTCTGATGGCATGTGCAGGACTGCAGCACTGGACAGGGAAGAGATTTTAGCTGAGACACTTGGACAAGTCCTTGTGTGAGATTTGCCAGGTCTTTAAAGTTCATTCAGAGTAAAAAGGAACTTGGTTATTTTTCAGTCCAAGGGAATGACACCCAGTAAATTGTGCAGAAGCAGATTTATGTCCCTTGGGAGGATGAAGGGCTGAGCAAGCCCTGCTGGTGTCAGCGGTGCTGTTTGAGGGACCTGTGAAGATTCCCAGCGGGAAGCCTGGTGTGCAGGGCCACTCTCAGCACAGCTCCTGCCCAGCCATGCCTGTGCCAGCAGCCCTGGCTTTTCTCTCACCAATTTTGCAGCAGTTCATGGAAGTATTTTCCTTAGTTTTGATGAAAGTTGTTTGCATGCCCAGAGCTGTTCAGTCCACCCTCAGCTGAGGCTTTTTGCCATCCATCAGTGGAAATCCTGTACAAGGTACCAAACACAGACTTATATGGAGCAACTTCCCCAAGTCACATTCCTATGGATCTTGTGGCTCAGTCAGAGGTTTTTTAATAGTTGCATAGTCTTAGTTGTGCTCATTGGTGGAAAAGTATTTGTTTAAAAGGAGATAAGCTGGTATGTGCACTAAGAAAGGTGTTTTTAATACAATGTGCTGGGCATGCAGGGCACTGAGAGTGTTTGAGTGCTGCCAGTGCTGTGATTTCTGCATAGCTGGGGATACCTGAGCTGGGCTCAATTCCATGTTTTACATCATTTGGAATATAAGAAGTCAGCAACTAATACGGGCTGTTATCCAGCTTTTCTAGTGCTGATAGCATTGAGCAGAGCCTGCTGTGAATGAGTGTTGTGGGCAGAATGGTTTATTAGAGAAGCACTCCCAAGATAGGGCAGAAAAGACCCCAATGCTTTCTAAACTCCTTCTCAGGGAGGAATTTGTGTGCAGCTGGATCCAGTCTTAGCCCCAGACTTAGTCAACCCTTTATTTCTGAAGGTTTCCATAGCTGTAATGGAACTTTTATACAACTTTGTCCCACAGGACTAAGGATGGTAAACCAAATACATTTATATAGATAAATTATTTATTTAAATTATGAAAATGGTATTAGACTATAATATTTTAATCAGAATTCTTTTCTACACACTATAGGAGCTATAGCTACTAGCACAGTGCACTCTTTTTGAAGCAATATTGAAACAATTATATTAAAGCAGGCAAAAGCTATTGCTAGGTAGACACTGATGTTATTTGGCCAGACCAACAACCCCAGGCCAATCTCCTTCACTCAACCTTGAGGAATAACCATCAGGGCATCCCCCCTCAAGGGAGTGGTGTTCTTTCACCCCCTCTCTAGGCAGAGCATCCTGCTACAACGACCTTCAAGAACCTGGCAAGACTTACTATTAGCAAAATATTATTATCAGGGAAATAATCTTTTGATTGGAAAAGGAAAAAAAACTGGGGGCAAATGGTGCAATGGGTCTGGCTTGATAAATTATAATATTCTTTGACTGTCAGCTTTCAGACTCTGGACATGCTGGATACTTTTATGGCAACCTACAATTTCCCCACATCCCTGTGTTCCAATGCATTTAATGGAAGAAAGAAACCCACAGGTTAATATTGTTGGTACTTGGCAAGGCAATGTATCAGTATTTATATTTCTCTCTAGAGGCATTAATGAGATTTTTGGACTCCCTGTGGTCTTCCCTATACTCTGAAAATGCCCTCTGGCTTGCCCTCAGTACTTCCTTTTCCCGAATAAAGAAACAAAGTGTGGAAGACACCCACTCCTGTTCCCCACATCCTCTCCATGCAGCAGGCAGGACTCCTGGAGCTGAGATTCATCCCTGACAAACTGCTCTGCTCCTACCTGTTCAAGACTGGCAGGTGTCAAATATTGTCTATCCTGGGCTTGACCACTTGACCTCGGCCTTGCAGGAAATTTTATCAACTAAGCAAAATCTAACCAGGATTTATTTTGATTTGGTTCTGTTTTTCCTTCTCACAGTTTTATTTATTTGTTTGTTTGTTTTCAGCCATCTGGTTAAGCCAGAAGGAGAGGACTGGAAGGGAGAATTTTTTGGTTTGGATATTTTTCTATAATGAGAACCTGGCAGTGGAGCTGTGTGAACATCTCACAGACAAGAAGCCAGATGAGCTGGCAGTCAGCTCCTAGTTCCTGATGCTGGCTGCTGTCTCACCAAACTGCAACCAAAAGAATGAGCAAGTTTTAGACTGAACTTTAAAATTCTTTGAGAAAACCAAACTGTAACTTGCAGCTTTTCTACCTGCTTAGGAAAGGTCAAGAGGGGGAAAGAAGGGTTAAAATAATGTGCTGTGTGGTGCTATGCTGGGCAGGCACAAGCAGAGAGCTCAGCAGGAGGAGATGGTGTGCAGGAGCCTGCTGGGGTTTGTGGACAGCTCTGGGTGAGAAAGCACAGCCCAGAGAGAGGCAGCACAGACACCAAGAACAGGGTTAGAGCTACTGAAACCTGAGAGGTGATTGAAGCATTTCAGATCTCTCCAAAGGTTTCTTTATTCCGTCAGGTCAAACATACAGTGTCTGGATTAGAGAACATTATCAGCTGGGCCAGCCTCCTAAATCAATTATGACTCGAAGGGCTTAGTAGCACATTTAGAGGGGCTTAGTGATAAATTCTGTCTTGTTATTTCTGCTGAAGAGGCAGTGGCTAATGTGAGAGTAACTAAGGTGGTTTCTGTGAGAGAAGGAAAAAGTAGCAGAAAGCCATAAAAAAGAAGGTAGAGAGAATAATACAAATAAATACCTGAGAATAAAAAGACATGGTGATGCTATTTGCCCATCTCATTCACGAAAGCTTTTGTCACCGTGAGCTATTCAAATGTCATCTACTTGCCTCGATTTCTTTAGAATTTGGGTAAGAATATAATCACCTCCCTTCATGGAATGCTGGGTGTGACTGTTCCATTGTCTGAGAAGGGTTGTGCCACGACTGAAATGAGAAATCATTGCTGCTGCTCCAGAAAACTCCCAGTAAGTGTTTGCCTGTCCTGTTAGACAGCAGAAGTGTGGTGTGTTTGCTGAGCTGGGAGCTGCTGAGGGCAGGTTTGCAGTGGTGGGAATGATAAATGCCCTTGGCAGCCTCGTTAGCTCAGCCAACATCAACAGTGCTGTTCTGCTTTGGGACCTCAGCTGAGTCATGGACAGCCAGCCCCAGTGCCTCTGCACTGTCCCCAAAACCTTTGGTGCCAAGGGTAGCTCTGGCAGAGCATCTCCAGGGTCTGTAGCCCAAGTGCAGCAAGCTGGTCATCTCCTAATGCTGACACAGCTCTCTCAGAAATACAGGCACTCTCAGCCTGGCCAAGATGTACAGAGGCAGTGCTGTGGAAATTAAAATGGCCCAAGGTTTGAAAAGCAATGTCTGGATGCCAGGATGAAGGGTGTGGTAGAGAAGTGAGTGTGTGACAGAGGGTTATGTTTGGTGCTGTCCTTCAGACCAGCAGGGTTGCAGATTTTATTAAGCACACCCACCTTGAGCATCTCATGGTTTGTGCAAGGATTTGTGTCCTCAGATACCTGGGGGTGAATTTACTACATCCTAATCCTTTATTCCTAAGTGTGTAAGACTCCCCAGGACCTCCATGTGCATTACAGTGGCTGGGTCCTTTCCAAGGAGCACAAACCCCCCAAATATTCAGGCACAAATACGATTCTGGTGTAGTTGAGAGTAGAGTGCAAACATTTCTGGGAGGATTTTCCTGAGATCTGAGTAAGTTCACATGCCTTTGATAGTGGCAAAGGATGTCCTTGGAGAGCCAGGTTACTGTGACTTCTGACCTTGTCTTTCTTAACTGGAATTCAATTCTTCTCATAAAGACAACTCACAACCATTTCAGAAGTGCTAATAATTATGGGTAATATGGCCTCTTTCCCCTCCTCCCAACTCTAACCAAATAAATCCGGAGGTAGAAATAACTCCACCCCTCCTTTTATATTGTTTCCTGTCTGGAGACTGTCTTCAGTTTTTATGTGTGCTTTGAGTGTAGTCCTTACATTTAAGATGGCAAACAAAGATTTCAAGCGATGCATCAGAAGAAACCCAACCATTCTGTGTTCTATCCATTTGTCTTCCCTTTGTCCTTAATCTTGATTTGCCCTGTAGGTTAGTCTTATCATAAAGACAGTATGAATGACTGTCTCAGCGCCTTTCCTCATTAATGCTGCAGGAAATTGATGAGGAGATCTCTGCAACTGTGGTTTTTTTTGGCAAGAATTATAGCCCCTATTTATTTTGGAGGGACTCAT